TTAGGAACACTCCTTTTTAGTCCTTAAAATTTAAAATTTAGTCTCTATTTAGTCCCTTTGTTATTTTTGTATACATTGTACGTTAGAGGACGAAATTTTCAAAATAAAGGGATTAATTGGTCTCTCTACTTAAAAAAACTCTTTTTGATTTCTTTACTTTAAAAAAATAAAACTCCTTTTAGTCCTTCTATTTCAAGATTTTTGTTAAGATAATATATTATGCAAAAAAATTAATAGATAGACTAAAAAGGAATTGAATTTTAAATTTTAAGGATCAAAAATGAATTTTTTTAAGTAAAAAGGACTAAAAATGAAATTTTTATTAGAGAAGAGGGACCCAAAAAGAGTTTTAATATTTAGTTTACTTACTGATTCCCTGAACCTCTAATATGTGAATCGAGAGAGTGATAGTGTTACATTAGTGAGTATCAATATGGCTAGGGACAGAGCCAAGAATATATGTTAGGGGATAAAATTTTAAATTTTTTTGAGTCATTTATTAGTTGATATGTATAATTTATATCAATTTTTAAATCAGTCACTAATTTTAAACATGTATGTACCACTTATATTATTCACCCCAAAATTTAAATTAATTAGATATATTTAACCATTTTTGAATAACATATGATTTTAATACTATTGAATAAATAGTATAAAAATATAATTTATTTTCTTTGTAAGGTTATATATATCAAATTAATTTTAAATTTGAAAAATATAATTTACATGAATAGAATAGATTCAATTGTTAATTTAATAGAATGTTAATTATACAAATAAAAATTGTATATAATCAATGTAAAAATTTATATAAGTTATAATTGATAGAACTAGATCTAAACTTTTTTTTTTATATTTGTACTTACCTAAATAAAATTATTGTGTTTTTATAAAAATTAATCACAAATGATCCCTTTAGCTAAGTTATAAACATTTTCTTTATATTTGAATGATTCTTATAATTCAAAATTTAAAATATTGGTACTATATTAAACATTTTTCAAAAGTTTAGGGGGCGGCTCCCCGACCCGGACCCCCCCTCCCCTCCCCTCTCTCTTCCTTCCTATGCTGGCCCGTCTCTGAATACGGCTAAGCTGCCTAAAAGTAAGGTGGATGTAGTTCTTTGAAGTTTTACAAGTTGTTGGCTCTCTTGCTGGGCACTAGGAAGGAAAATGATTACATAAAGAAACTACCGAGACCAAAACAAAGACATTTTTTGAACGGATTTTGGCCTCTTATCAGCAATTTCGTCTTGGTGTTGAAGTTTGAATGGAAAGAGGTCGTGGTGGGGTACCCTACTAAATGGTTGGAGAGATTGTGCGAGATAAAGAACCGTCAAGCGGCACAAGCCCATTTCTTTTCTTTTTATTAATTTTTGATTTCCGTGTTGAGGGGAAGGACAGATGGTCCTTCCTTTCTTCCTCCCACTACTATAAATACCCCACTCTTTGTTTTCTCCGCCTGCACCTCAAAAAGAGTGTCTGATTGCACAGACAGCCTCTGGAGCTCAAAACTCCGTTTGGGTTTTTGTTGTTGTGTCAAAATCGCAGTCTCAAGTGTACGGTAAATAAAGACTAATTGTTTTTTTTGGCTGTTGGGTTGTTGTTTCTCTTGACAAAGATGGGAGATCAAGCTGCCTCAAGAACCCATCTTCCCCACCGCCCAGTCTTTGACGTGCCCATTGATGTTCTTCCACAGAGTGGCGCCGCCTCCGAATGCTTGGATGACGACGGCCGTCTCAAGCGGACTGGTAACTTCACCTCTTCAGAAACCAATCACACAATAAGTTTTGTTGCTTTTGGGTTTCTAATTTTGGTCCTATAACTATGCAGGAACTGTGTGGACCGCTAGTGCCCACATAATTACAGCTGTGATAGGTTCTGGAGTTCTGTCCCTGGCTTGGGCCACAGCTCAGCTGGGATGGGTCGCTGGCCCAACCGTCATGGTCTTATTCTCTCTTGTCACTTACTACACCTCCACTCTTCTGGCCACTTGTTACCGTTCTGGTCACCCTGTCACCGGAAAGAGAAGCTATACTTACATGGATGCCGTTCGATCAAACTTAGGTAAACTCTTAGTTTTTTAGTTGAATTAAGAAATGGGTTCCTCTTAAAATGCTCAAAGCTCAAAACTTTTCTTCTGGGTTTCTTAAATTTCAGGTGGGTTTCATGTCAAATTTTGTGGGTGGGTTCAATACCTCAACCTTTTCGGAACTGCTATTGGATACACCATTGCTTCAGCAATTAGTATGATGTGAGTTTCAAATTAGAATCTGATGATACTTTTTCCCTTTCTCTTAGTAGTTTAAAGTTTCTTATATCATTTGCTGTTTTGTGATGAACAGGGCTATTAAGAGGTCTAATTGCTTCCACGAGAGTGGCGGCAAGAATCCGTGCCATATCAACAGCAACCCTTATATGATTGCATTTGGAATTGTGGAGATCATTATCTCTCAGATTCCTGACTTTGATCAGTTGTCGTGGCTATCCATTGTTGCTGCAGTCATGTCCTTCATTTACTCATCAATTGGACTTGGTCTTGGAATTGCTAAAGTTGCAGGTCTTAATAGCTATCCTTATGAACACTTAAATCTTCATTTTCTTGGATTGTTAGAAGCTGAACATATTCATTTTTCTTGGTTTATTTATTCTCAGAAACTGGAAAAATCAGGGGAAGTCTAACGGGAATAAGCATTGGCATTGTAACTCCAACCCAGAAGATATGGGGGAGTCTCCAGGCTCTTGGAGACATTGCTTTTGCTTACTCTTATTCTCTCATCCTCATTGAAATTCAGGTATTTATTCATGTTTCCTTCCCTTTCTTTCTCCAATATTTGTTGAACAAAATTCAGTTCTTACTTTGTTATTATATAGTTTTAGCTAAACGTCGTGATAATCTAACAGGATACAGTCAGATCCCCACCATCAGAATCCAAGACAATGAAGAAGGCATCTATGATAAGCGTGGCAGTGACTACCATATTCTACATGCTTTGTGGCTGTATGGGCTATGCTGCTTTTGGAGACTTATCCCCTGGAAACCTCCTTACTGGTTTTGGCTTCTATAACCCATTCTGGCTCCTTGACATAGCCAATGCCGCCATTGTCATTCACCTCGTTGGTGCTTACCAAGTTTACTGTCAACCTCTTTTCGCCTTCCTTGAGAAACGGGCAGCTGAAAGATTCCCAGATTGTGAATTCATTACCAAAGAAATCAAGATCCCTATCCCCGGTTTTCACCCTTACAATCTAAACCTCTTCAGGTTGGTTTGGAGGACACTTTTCGTGATCACTACCACCATCATCTCCATGCTTCTTCCCTTCTTCAACGATGTGGTTGGACTCCTTGGAGCTCTAGGATTCTGGCCACTTACAGTTTACTTCCCTGTAGAGATGTATATCAGACAAACGAACATACCAAAGTGGAGCACAAGATGGCTCTGCCTCCAAATCCTGAGTATTGCCTGCCTTATCATCACCATTGCTGCAGCTGCTGGCTCTATTGCAGGAGTTGTTCTTGATCTCAAGTCATATAAGCCCTTCTCCACCAGTTATTGATTCAATGCGGTGTTAAAACAAGAAGGAAGAGTTGATAATTAGGATTTTAAGGCTTCTTGCATATGTCCATATCGAGTCCAAGGTGATAAGATCAGTCTTTATCCCTAATGTAGTTTTCTTTTCTTTGATTGTAATATATAATGTATGACATAAGGCCTGGGATCCCAAATTGTAACTTTGATTATCATCCAATGCAAAAAAAAATTAAAAAAAGAAAGCATGTAGTAATTTTTTTTTTTTACTATTAAATGTGTCTCTAATCAAATTTTTATATATTTTGAGATTAATTTTTTGGGTAATTTTCAGATGTACAATTTTTGTAAGTGCCAACCTTAAAATTCAAAACCTAACCATTCTTCTCCTAGCGCATGTTGAATTAATTTTATACTATTGAACAATATTAGTAAATTTCTTTTTTTATTTTATAATAACATTATCAACTTAAAAATTAAAGGATGTACTTATTGTATTTTATTTTTATTATTAACTTACATAAAAATATAAAAATTAATTTTAATATCTATAACACATGAATATTTTTTATTGGATAATTGATAAAAGTACTTATTGTATTTTATTTTTATTATTAACTTACATAAAAATATAAAAATTGATTTAAATTTTATTAAGTATTAAATTAAGTTATTTTATGTGATATTACTGTTGAAAAAAAACAAATTTTGGTCTCATAAATTTTTATATAAATTAATAGTAAAAATGTGTAATAATTATACCTTAATTAGTTGGCTGCTATCACACTAATCTTCTAGAATGTAGTTGTTGGAATAATAACTTAGTAAGGACACCTCGCTCTTGAACTTCAGGAACTACACTAACAAAAGACACAGAAAATTCAAAAAACGGCACGATATAATACATATCAGTTGGTCTACATCGACAAAATTGGGGAGGCAGTAGGCGGCAAGGCGGCCGCCACTATAATCACCGCCGCCGATATAGTGGGGGTGGCTCACCACTCAAGCACTCACTGTCCACAACCAATCAAGCCAAAGTTCTCTTGTAATTTAAAAATGACTTTTGTTTTTTTTTTTTTGATAAATAAAATGACTTTTGTTACTATAGTGGCTTTAGTGAATCTTCTTTTTATGATTTTCCACAACCCAACATTACCTCGTAAAAAATATTATAGTTAATTAGCCCTTTTTAAGAATGGATTATCGGCTTGGATTATCAGGTGATTTCACTATTTTCCATCAGCAATCAACTTTCATTATTAAAAAGAAAGAAATCATGATGATGCTTCACATTTCTAATGCATGTAATTTGTTCAAAAAAAGAGGTGATTTAAAAAAAAAAAAAAGATTGCATAATGTGATGCAAGAAGCAATCCTCTTTTGTCGCCATCTTTAACAGGTAATTGGAGAGTGTTTTTGAATACCATGAGTATTCAGACGTTGTCCAACTAGTCTCCAAACACTTTACAACAAGCCGCCTTTATCTACAGGAGAAGAATAATTTGCACAATGTGGAATCTACTTGTTTCTCATTGGAACATTAATTTACACAACCATATGCACACAAATGTGGTCCTGGCGAATTGCTCACACCTTTAATTTGACAGGAAATTTCATTACGTATGATGTGTGAGTCCTGCTCTAAAGGTTGCAGAACAAGTAATTCTTATAGTGCAAAACCTGCATCTTGTGATCTGAAAGAAATCTGCACAGCTGCCCCCAGGGAAGTGGTTTGGCTCTTCACATGAGTAGCGGTTCAGTACCTTAAGAAAGTTCTTCCTTGTTGAACTTGTTCCAAGCTTCCTGTTTCAGTTCCCATGAATATTAAGTATCAAGATCAGATAACTAATGAAAAAGATAAATATTCTGGTATTTAACATTACAGGAGGTATTTCTATGCTTCCAAATGAAAATAAACTTGTCATAGGATCCGCTGATCTGATGAACGATGATAAAGAATAAGCATATGAAGAAACCAACTATGATTAAATCACCGAATATCTCGAGTGGTTCAAAGAACTTTCGAACATCAAAAGAATAAGCATCCCATATTACTTCCTTTTATGGACGATTAACGATTAGAACCATTGAAAATTCCCAGTTAACCCGTACCATCCATTGTTAAGCAAGTGTTACACAACAGCTAAAGAAATGCCAATATAAAGCTCAAAAATATATCCATGGTTCTAGGTGTTTAAGGAAATAATTAATGATTCCTGCTCAAATTGGAATATTAGTAGAGTACCTTGAGAATATCAAAAACCTTCTCCGCTATATATTTCTGCTCAAGGGT